TAGCTCTAATTCAACTATGTTCAGTAAAACTATGGCCTGTTTGGGAATCCTACGGAGTAAAAATAGCAACTACTTTGACCATCCAGATATTTCCTTGCTCCATACAATTAAAAAAAATTTAAGGAGAGGAAAAAAATAAAATAAAACTATTTCAAATCCAGATGATGATTTCTCCAAAACGTATACGTAATAAAAATAGTTCTGGTTTCTTGAACACCACAAACATTTGAAAAATGAACTTGGAAAAAGGCTTTTATATAGATTATTCAATGATGGGGAACAATTTAGAATCACATGAGCAAAGGCTTCAGACCATGGTCCAAGTAATGAGCAGTCAAGTGAACAAATTTGTTCGTAAGGCTATTGTTACCTGCGTCAGAGGGGTGAGTATTACTTAAAACAGGGGAATGTTCCTTGACTTCACTTCTGGAGAACATCAAGTGATGAAACTTCAGTCCCAATACCTAAAAAGAAAAAAGAAGGAAATGCAGAATTACTCAGATGCAGATGCTAAGATGACTCAGCAGTAAAAAATTAACTTGTTCACACCTTCATTGAAAAAATAGAACTGAAAGAATGAACGCAACAAAAACAGCAAGACGACTAGACCTCTTATTAATATAAGAGCCTATGACATACATATTGGATTTATTTTCTCAACCAAAATTCCGTTACTAAGCTCACATCCTAATTATAAAAGTTGCAAAACGCGTGTCATGATTTTTGACAGGGCACATTTCCTGTCACATTTTATTTCTTCAAAAGAAAATTGATGGACCGACCAATATTTTTTGGAATTTTCAGGATTTTTCTTCATCTGATACAAAATCTCTTGTGAATATCTAACAGGCAAGTTCATTGATTTTTCTTCAAAACAATTAAACAACAGCAAAGTTTGGAAAAAACGCAATCAAGATACATGTTCCTTGACTTTTATGCAGCAGGTAAATTTTTTGGGATTCGCAATGAGCATGGATTTTTAGTACAAAGATCTTACAACAATAGTCGTGGAGCCTATCCATAGATTGCGAATTATTTATCAATTGCAGCTTAGAATTAAATTAACGATGTTCTATTGCTACTGTTAAATTGAGTGCATCAACTCATAATGTTTCACTGAGAAAACAAAAAAATTGAAAAACCGGTTTTCATGGTTGAAAAGAGCTGACAAGAGGCTAATAATAAACATTAACTTTTCTATCAAACATTTCTAATGCAATGGGTCTTTGGACAAGGTCTAAACCAGAAAAGAACATCGCACATTCTTCTTCAAAATTTTATGCAGAAAACGAATCACCGAAAGAGAACTTTGGAAATCAACTCCTAATGGAGATATTAAAAAGTATTTTTGCTTTAAATTGCTTTTGGTTGAAAATGCAGGTGTGATCCCTGCGAAACGTAAAAAAGCGAAAATTGAAAATGACCAGATGGCGGGTGTAGTGTATTAATAAGTATTAACAACGCAGATCAAATGGAAGTTAAGCTATACAAACGACGTCATTTGTATTTAACCAATGTTGATAACACTTGAAACACTTAACACACTTAAAAGGTGTAAACACTTAATCCTGTTTTAAGGTTGATTTTAAGACTTCCTGTTGTGTGATTCGTTTTCCTCATAAAATTTTGAAGAGAAATAATTTTGTGTAAGGCTTTGATTCATACCTTGGATAGAGGCTCATTGTACTCCTTCACCCTAAATACAATACTCAAAAACCAACCGAGAATATCCAATTTATTGCTAATAATTAAATCGTCTCGTGCAAAAACTGCTAATGTCCATTATTCCGATCTTGAGTTTTTTTGGGTTGATAATACTTTTCAGAGTTACATGCAACCATAAAAGTGGTGTTGATACTCGATTTAGGGATATTTTAATCCTAAACAGAGTATTTGCAGCGATTGTAGGATTGTATCAACTCTTGAAGAGTATTATCAACCTGAAACAAATCAATGCTGGAAAAATGGACATAAGCGGTTTTCCGTGACACGATTCTATTACTGTTGGAATTATTCTGATAGCTCAAAATCAGCAAGTGAAAGAAAAATACTCACCACAAATATTACCGCCGATTGCAAGATAAGCATATCCATTATCACCAAAATAGGGGCCCCACGAGTTTCTGATGATGTAGTGTGGAATAGCAGCAGTGGTATCGTATCCAACGATTTGTACAGCATGATTGATATTTTGCAGCGCTCCGTCACAATGATACTGGATGACTCCACCAATATAATACTGCCATGGAAGTGCATTCACGGCAGCTATCACAGGTCCATGAAAGGCAAGGAGCTCCAGAATGTTTGACTCACTTCCGACAAAACTGGTAGAATAAAAAATAAAAGAAGAGATCAGATTTCCAGTGTGGAGAAAAAAAGAAAATTTTCAAATTGTAAGCCCTAAATGAAGAACAGTATTACAAACTTAACTGACTTGGTGCTGTCGCCAAACTGACCTAAATCTGCAAAGAAAGATGAAAGTACTTTTGCCCCATGTGAACTTTTACCCCCACCTACCATAACAGCAGCACATTTCCTCCTTTAAAATTTCAAAGTATAGAGAAAATATTTTGAATGTGAAAAAGGCGTTTAACTATATCTCCAGCACTGAGTTTTACTTCTTCTCTTTTTCTTTCACTAAAAATTAGGGTACGACCCTGCTTGTTAAGCTCTAGAGAAAGGAGCAAATATCAATCATTAATAAGTGTAAAAGATTTGTCAAGTGCACAAAAAAAAAAANAAAAAAAAAAAAAAAAAAAAAAAAAAAAAAAAAAAAAAAAAAAACCAGCGATACCAAAATTCAATTATCTTTGGGAAAAGAAAGCCAGCTCTGTTCCCACTCCCATCTCTTGGGCAGTCTTTCAAGTAATCTTTTCCCTATTGGTTGTCAGTTCAAGCAAATCTTCAATAGTCTCTCTGAATACGTTCCAGCAAATCTTCAATAGTCTCTCTGAATACAGAGTAATAAAACTTCAAACCTTGTTTTCAGGGTTGATCTTGATGAGACTTGGCTCCTCCCTGTTGAACTCTGTCCATTCAACAGCAAGAGAATTGATGACTAAGATAGAGGAACTATAATTGGACGTATTTCTGTCAAACGGAACTATGTGCATTATGATGTGAGTCCTGTTATGCATTTGTTCTCGTGGGTCTCAGGGCTCATGTCTTAATGCACATAGTTCTGTTTGATAGAAATACGTCCAATTTGGCTTACGTGCCCACACCATTATTGAGGATTCATGAAAAATATACTCCAGAAGGAGACCTTAAGTAGTAAATTTTCTTACTCGGAAATCTATTCTTCTTAAATTTCCCCTATCAGAAATAATTTTTTTAAAGAATACTGTAAATTCAGCTCGTCAAGCACTTCCATACAAAGCAATTAAATTTTCCCTACAAATGATCAAATATTGAATGGATTGGTTAAAACGTTTTATTTACTTCTCAAGAGATGATTTAGCAAAATTCGGCAGGTTTAAAATTATTAACGACAATAAGTATTGTTGAAAACCAAAATAAAATTGTAAACTAAAGCAGCAATTGTACAGAAAGCAATAAAGAACTTGTCGATTAAGAGAGACAAAAATCATAAGATAGGAGGCTTAAGAAAGAACTTACTTATCGCAAGTGTAGTTATCAGCTACTTCTATTCCTCCTTCAAACCTAAAAAAAATATTGATTTTAATTAATACAAAGTAAGAAGCTCATTATTTATGCTTATGTGTTGTTGAGTGGTTGTTTCTTCAAGATCTAGACTATTTGCTGAACTTCTAGAATTTGAATCTATTGCTAAATTTATACACTTGATTTAATAATGGAGTAGAAATTATCATGCTCAGATGCACAAGTACAACTGTAAAACTTACACACCTATACCTATAGATTGATTGCGAGAACTCTATGTTACACTTAATTCAGCGTGCCATGCGTCACCGGCTCACTATTAATGCCTTCTTAACATGTGCTTTTGAACATTTCTACTGCATTTAATTGTGCTACCATTGTAAGATGGATGGGAAAATGGCACTGCACATAAAGCAATGGGACAGATAATCTAAAAATAGAAAATTTAAGTCTATAACTAAAAAATTCAGAAGGAGTTTTTCAACATTTCCAGTTTTTTTTTTTTTTTTTTAAAAAAAATATATATATAATTCAGCATACAAGCGGAAAAATTTCAACTTTCAGCATAAAAGAATGACAAATTAGACCTACCCATACCCATTGAGTCGACAAACTTCATCTTTCAAAACTAAGGGATAATCTTTTTCTAGTTTGACTGGAACATGGTTCATAACGAGCCACTTAAGTAAACTACATGTGTCTCCACCATTGCATCCTGCATTCCCATTGCCAGCACAATCCACCACCTACAAAAAAAAAAAATCAATAAATGTCGATCATAAAACAAAAGCGATGTACTTGAAACCTACTCAGAACTTCCTGGAAGCCGGTTTCAATTATTACTACCACTGCATTAAAAATAAATTTATCAGCTTTGAAAAACGCATGAAATGCCAATGCTTCAATACCAATTCTAAACCAAGCAATGAATTGGCCAGAAGTTACTTAGGATAAAGCAGGGGTTCAATATTTCTTATACCCATCCAAGGTTGGTAAAATTCGTTGGGATAAAGGCAGTGTCTATTGCTATACCTAGCTTGTTATCTTCTCAAAAAAAAAAAAAAATTCCAGGAAGAATTTTTCAATATCAAGCCGCTCATCTATTTCCATTAATGACTCTAACACAAGTACAATTATAAGAGTAATTTATACTCATTAACATTTGTCCATGCCCAGACTTCAAAACTCACCCAATACTTCTAGTCTGTTCTCATATGTACATCCGTGTGCAACTTTCTGAAAAAAGTTGGTGAGT